TTGTGTGATATGTAAATTATATCTCAATAAAGATGTTACCCAAAACAACAAAAACAAAAGAGCACATACATAGGTCTAGATAGGGAGGTCACTGCCCAGCCACAATAAACCAAGGCTCCGTTCTTCCAACACCTTTGTTCTCCAAGCCCAAGTTTCTTTCCTTCTCCACAAAGACCACAGCTCTTACAAAGGCACTGTGTCTCAGTCAGAAAGCCTCCACCTCCCCTGCTGTGCTGAGAACCGCTTGCAACAACAGGTTTCTGAGTCCATCATGTGAGTTTGGGAAGGAACATTGATTTCAGAGTGAAGTGAGGAAGAAGAGATTTCTCCTATCGGTAGGGCTGTGGTCTCTCTGGTGTCTGGGTTTGAGTTTGAGTGAACCAGCAGTGTGATCTTGGTCTCAATTTCTTCCTATATAAAATGGGGTAGCTGATCCCTCACCCTTAAGCTGTGATTATTTATGAAAATATGATACTAGGGCCTCCCTGGTGATGCAAGGGGTTAAGACACAGCAGAATGAAGCTATCCGCAGCCACTGCAGAATATCCTCGAGTGGGAGCTGCCCATATGGCACAGCAGACCTCTCTTGTCTTGCCTGCTGCTCCCCTCAGCAGTGTACTTCAGTCAGTCTGCCTGTTCTGTTCCCCACTCTGTCTCTGGTGGAATCATCTCACCCCCCACCTCTGGCCTGTACCCCAGTTCTTGTATACATAAATAAATAAAATCTTTAAAAAATATGATTCTAGCACAACTTCAAGCACTTAGCCACATGCCCCAGCAGAAATAGAGAAACAAAGTGTCTGTCTATTTGGGAACTGATCCTGGAGTGTGGTAGGAGTGAAGGGATTTTGTTTGTTAAAAAGGAAAATTTTGGAAGATATTCTTAAGTCTCTAGACACTCATTGTTGGTTTAAAGATCATTATTTCCAAGGAAAGATAAGTAGAGGAGGATGTACCTGCCCCATCAGGGAGAGGGATGAGGACAGGAAACTTGGGCAGAAGAAGGGAGAGAATTTGGGGAGAATGGCTGCAAAGAAGCTGCTGCAGAGGGGTTTATCGGGAAGGACAGCAGGGAAGGGATGATGGAGAGGAGGAAGTCTCCAGACAAGCAGAAAGAGAAAAACTGGCAAATGTTGAAGAACTGGAAGAAGTGGCAAAATCCTCATCATCAAGGAGGAAGGAAGTGTAACAGAGAACTGCTGGAGAAAGAGGAGCAGGAAGAAAGGAGCAGGAACGTTAGAGAGTTTGGGGGTGGATCCGATGGGAAGAGAAGATCACCCAATTTGGAGGTCCCCAACCCCCTCCTCTTACCTACTCTAGACTAGTCTAGACACGTCTCTGCTGGGCAACCCTGGGACTACAGGCTCAGGAAGGGCACATAGAGTTGTACCAACCTGGCAATGGTGCCACATCTTGATGGCTCTTGTGCTCAGATAGCCCGGCTGGGAGCCCTGCCCAAGCAAAGGAGGGTCACAACAAAGCAGGAGAGTGTTGCCTTAAGGGGTCCAGGCTGAGCCTTGGAGGCACTTAAGGAGTAAAAGCTCATACCCCAGAAACCCCCTCCTCCAGGATTGGACCAAGGTAGAGGCTGAGGGTAGCCTCAGAGGCAAACTGGAGGTAGCCAGATGCCCCTAGGCTGAGGCTAGCAAGGTAAATGACAGGTAGTAGAATAGGCAGCAGCAGGAAGTGGTGTAGCGGCTGGGACTTCCCCCACTTCACTCTGAACCAAGCCACCCTACCCAGCTGATTCCCATTCCCTGCTCTACCAAACAGATGACCTCCACCTTCATGGGGCCTAGTCACTGCTGAATGCTCAGAATCCTCAGTGTGCCAAGCTGGCATCCAGCACAGACAGGCTCAGTCAGCTTGTGTTCCTAAAATGAGTCAATGACTGACTGCAGTGTCAGCCCTAGGCCAGGAGTGATCTTCGAGGGCCAGTCAGTGGAATTGGAGGAGATTATGCTGCAACCAACCCTTGGGTAGCAGCACTGCTGCCATTCCCAGAAATTAATACGCTTTTACAAAAAACAATAATGTCCACTATGAAAACCTCCAAGCCTATTAATTTCTGGCAACTTTTGGGGCCAGGCAGGAAACTGACAGCAAGGAGTGAGCTGGGCCTTGGGCTGTGGTGGCCCTGTGGGACCCAGGAAGAACTGAACCAGCACCTAAGAATTTGTCTACAATGGAGCCAAGGGAGGCTCAGAGCCACAGAGAAAGCAGTCTGGGCCATTGCCCTGCCCCCTAATCACTAGTGCGTGGAGACACACACACACACACACACACACACACACACACTTTCTTTATAAAAGAGGGAGGGAAAGGCACAGCAAGGCAGAGGATATGCCCATGGTCCCTAGAATCTTAAATAGGTTGAGAACCCTGCTGAAGACTGGGGGTGAGGGTGAGGACAGCAGACAGGACACTGGCCCTCAGCCCCACTGCCAGGTGAGGAATCCCAGATCCTAGTGAATTCACACAAGGTGGGCACGGGAGCCCTCCAGCTCAGCCTCCCTCTTAGCCCACCAGAGGGAGGGGCCCTAGGACAAACAGTGTTCGCATGCGGGCAAAGACACACAAGCACTCTAAGGCTACACATCTCTACACAAGCTTTACCCAGTACAATGTCCTGTCTTCCTCACCCCGGACCAGAGGAGGTAGCCAGTCAGGATTTGGGTGGAAATCCACTGGCCCAAAATGACTGGTCTCCTGGGCAAGGGATTCTGGTCACCTGAGCAATGAATGTATTTCCAGATAGAATGAGGCTGCAAGCGGCCTTGGGTTCAGGGGCCTGGGTTTAAGGGTATACCAGCCTCCCGAATCCTTTTGGTCAGGTTCTCGGCTAAGCCAGGGCCTGTGCTTGGTGAGGAGACTCAGCATCCCAGGCCCCCTGCTCCACACACAAACACCACACCCAACTCTCCTTATAGAAGCCCTGACTCCCTCTCTCAATCCCCGCGGAGAACTGGGAGCTGGGACTTCCACGGGGCAGGAATTAACAAGCGGCCCAGAGAGAATGTGGGGAAAGAATAAGGGCATGGGAGAAAGAGGAGACTTGGGTTGCCCAAAGGCAAATCGGGACTAGTCCGCAGCCCTCTCCGGTGCTCCCAGTCTGCCTCTCCCTGCAACCAGGGAAGACGAGCAAGCCCCAGCTTCCCAGGTCCCCGCTCTGAGAGACTCTCCCCAGGGCTGAGTGTGTGCCAACCCCAAGCCCATCCAGGGACCTCAGAACAGGTTACCAGAAGGGAGCCCTGCATTGCTGGCAGGAGAAGATGTAGTTTGTGAAATGGAAATTAAGGAGTGAAAACCAACAATCCCCGGCAGGGTCCACCAGGTGTATTTTTCTTTGAACAGAAACTCGGGGCCCACATGGCAGAACAGCTAGGGCTTGGTTCCGGAAGGTTTGAGCCGGGTGGTTTTTTTCCTAAGAAGTTTTCTATATTAAAAGCGTGTCACTTGAATAATAAAAATAATCAAACTTATGAGAGCTAGAGAGGAGAAAAACTAAAGTGTGGATTGGAGATGAAGGACTGAATCAGGCTGGGAGCTCCCACTGGGCTGGGGTGGAGAGAGCTCTGGCCCATGCCGGGATCACTTAGGAATTGGGCAGCCCCTCCGTGCCCAGGCTCAGAAGGACCAAGTGCAAGACAACCAGAAAACAGGTGGCCAGGTTCCTTCCAAGGCCCCAGCAGGACCGCACTCCCCCAGGCCCTCCTCTAACTATTCCATTGATATAAACCTCATTTCTCCCAGTGCTCCACTCCCTCTCGGTACCGTCAGGAGCTGCCGTGGGTCCAGGCTGCTTTCTCTCAGCACACTCAGGCACAATCCCTCTGCTCCCCTTCCCCAGCCTAATAAATGTAGCCCAGTGTTGCTTCCCTTCCTTGTCCTTTGTGTTAATATGGACCAGCAGGCCTCCTCCCCTGTTCCCTTTACACTCCGCTGTCCTGATCCTAAACTCTGCGCAGAGGTGCTGAAAGCCACCAGTTGAGAAATTGGCAAACCCCTGCCCTCATCACTCTCCGCTGGGGACATTTGAGCCTGGAAACATGCACATTCAACTGCTCAAGTGCACACGTAGTTCCCACAGGCAAGCACTGGCATATACAGGCTCCCCTCTCACGCAGACATGGAGGCCGCGCCAGCAATTATGCCACAAGCACCTTCACCTGCACATCCAGAGCGATGCCACAAAAAATCCCAATCAGACCCTCCCATGGACTGGAGCCCCGTGGGGCACCCTAGCATGGCAGCGCTTCTGCGAGGGGTCACGCACCCTCCAGCGCGCGCACAGTTTTCACACACATCTTTGCTGGGGTCTCGCAACCTTCCTTCCAAGCCCCTTTATGAGTCAAAGAAAAGGGAGTGGGGCCTGGTCTCCCGGCGCTGTCAGAGTAGCTACTCTAGGTCGAGCACTGGGGTCCTCAAACAGTGCGATGGACCCAGAAGCCTCCCAGGGTAAATGCTATGCCCAAAGCCCTCCCCCCAGCCCCCCTCCTCACCTGGCAGTGCCCAGCTCCACTACCCTCCCACGTTTCTAGGTTCTCAGTCAGTGCTGTCACCTCTCTCCGCAGCCCACTGGAGGCAGAACCGCACCCGGGACTGGGGAGGAAAAGCGCCACAAAGCGTAGAGGTGGCAAAAGGGAATGCCCACCTTCTATGCCTGTTTGGGTGTGTGGTCCTGTGTGACGTCGTTTGCCGCCCACCCCAGCCTTGGTCTCACTGACTCTCTTCCCTGCGCCCGCTGCCCAGGAACGTTTCTCTTCCCTGGCAAATGCGGGACATTCCTTCTGCTCCTCGCCTCACTCTCTTGGGCGCATTTACCACAATATTGGCCTTGCTCGCCCAGGCGCGCCGGCCGGAGGCGTCTTCGCTCTGTGTAGGAGAGTGTGGGTGCAGATATGAGTGGAGCGGGGTGGCGGTGGGGCACAGGGAGGAACCCCCACCTGAGTTCCCTCCTCCAGCCCCCCCAGCGCGCCAAGAGCCCCAGCGAGGCCCACCTCGGGTTCTCTGCTCCGGCGCTGCCTTCGGGAGCGCTTCGGTGGTCAATCCCGCTGAAGGGCCGCGCCGTCGAGGCTGCGCTCCCCTGGGAACGGAGGGTAGAAAGAGAAGTGCGCGGGGCGTCGGGGGAGGGAGGGAGCTGATAAACTTTAAGAGGGAATGTAGGGAGTTCTTCTGTGCCACAGCTCACTCAGCCCGGCTCGGAGCCGGGCGGACTAGGGGCGGAGGAGCGGGGGCCCTGCCCCCCACCCCCGGCTCTACTACCTCCTGCGCCTCTGGGACTCGAAAGAGCCCGGACCTCCGCCCAATCAGCAGGGAGAGGTGGGGCAGCCGCGAGGGGCGGGGCCGGGGAGGAGCCGGGCCGGGCGCTGGGGGTGGAGGGGCGGGGAGCCCCGGGCTTGGCCAGCCCTGGCTGGTCTGGCGGCGGCTTAGGCGACCGTGGCGGCCGGCATGGGCGATGGGGGCGCGGAGCGCGACGGCGGCCCCCCACGCCGGGCTGAGGACTCCGGCGCTGAAGCCCGGGGCCGAAGCCCAAGGGAAGTTGCTGGGACCTCCGCCTGCAGCTCTGCGGGCTCCAGCGAGGGCAGCGCCGGCTGTGACCCGCAGCCCGGGCTTACTGGGACAGACCACTGCCGCCGCATCCTGGTTCGAGGTAAGAGGACAGCTCGCCACCCTGGCCCACGGGACCCCCACCCTACCCCGCTCTAACCCCCACCTTCCTGCAGCCTCCGCCTCCCAACTCACGCATCCATTTAGTTATTCGTGATTCAGTAATTCATTCAGCAAATGCTATTTTGAGCGTCTATTGTGTTCTGGACGTTGAGCTGAGTACAGGGGACAAAGCGGCGACCGCGACCGAGCAGATCTGCACCCCACTGCCTGGCAGTTCTGGGCCTCCCAGAGCGGCCCCTCGCCCAGCCGGCTGCTGCGGCGGGGCTGGCACAGGACGCCGGGTGCCGAGAGCCGGGTCCCCGCCCTGCGCCCCTCTTCGCCCGCGCGGACAGGAGCGTCCGAGCGCTCGGCGGGGTCGGGACTCCGAGCGACCACAGCCCGGGACCGCGGAAGGAAAAGTCCAGGCTGCACCAGGCGGCCTCGGCTCTCCCTCGCCTCGGGCTCAGCCCTGTTTCCCATCCCCAGCGCCGCAGACGGCACCCGCGGGAGGGGACTCCCCGGCGCCGGGTGCCGGCCGCGCGCTCGGCCGCCCGCGCTTCGCGGAGCTTTCGGTTCCCACTTGCTCGCGGCGCCTGGGCCCAGGGCCTCTAGCTCTCCGCGTCCCTCCATTTCTCCCTCGCCCTCCTCTTCTTTCCTGGCTATTCCTCTCCGCCGAGCCCGCCTTCCCCACACTTCTGCACGCGCCCCTGGACTGCGCCCGAGGACCCAGCTCCGCCTGGCCTCCCCTGCGCTAGCCTGCGGCGCCCCCGGCCCCCAACGCCAGGCTCCAGCGAAGCTCAGGGCTCGGCTATTCCTGGGACCCCGGCCTTGCCTAGCGAGGTGGGAGGAGAAAGGGGATTAGCTCCCTAGGCCTGAGATCTGTTTCCCACACCGTGTGGAAGCCCCGAGACCCAGAGACCCCGCTCGCAGAAGGAGCGCCTCTGGAGTAGCGGCTCGCCGGCCCCCATCAACTGCATTGCCGGGTTTCCTCGCGCTGCCTTTTTCCTGCCTGTACTTCTGAGCGCGGGTCCCGCCAGCCCAAGGACCTCAAGAATCGACGGAACAGGACTGATTTCCGTGGCCTTCGACTGGTGAAGGGGAAACAGCCTGACGCCGGTTTGAGGTCTCTCCTGCACAAGGATATCGACTTTGTCCCCCCACACAGACTAGGCTACTTCAGCCTGGTCTGCACAGCCTCCCCGCAGCCTCTCGGTGTGGGGGGCCTCTGGGGCTGGGGGAAGGGGCTAGAATGGAGTGTGGAGGCAGCCCAAGGCTTGGCTACTGGTACCTTGCAAACACACGCAGGTACCTTGATCTTTGGGAAACACTCTTGTCAGGTGTGGTCATCAGAGATGGGGCGCACACCACTGTTCTGGGGGTAGGCTTGGATCAAAGCAGTTACAAAACAAGGCAAGTGGGTGGTCTGGCCAGCAGGAACTCAAGCAGGTGTGTTGACCTGTTGGGCACCTGGGATTAAATTAGGTCCCATTCCATAGACTGTGAGGTGTCCTGGGTGTGAGGGGCTAGTAACCAGGTTGAAGTTCTTTAAGAAAATCTGCAAGGCTTTACAGGAATGGAAAAACCAGCCCCCTAAAACCACACTCCCAGATTAAGCACCGAAGTCCCTGCCTGTGACCACAAGCACATCCCTTCGCCACCTCAATCCCATCTGTAGATAGACATTTCCTTCACAATGGACACTTGTGCCTTCTGTGCCCCCCTAGTGTCCTCTCCACTCTACTAACTCTGCATACAGAAAAAATTAATTTATTAAAATTAATTTATTAATAAATAGCTAAATAACTCTCAGATGTAGACTCACAGAAGCTATAAGTCAAAATCAATCATTCATCTCACAGGGTGGGGACCACCCACTCTAGGCGCTATCCACACTATCCACAGTCACATAGAGATGGACCCCAACTGTTAGCAGGGCAGTTTGTGTCCATTGTTAGAAGGTGTGTTTTTATAAACACACTTACACATGTACAAGAAATGCCATGACATTTATTTGATAATGTAATTAGAAATACTAACTATAAAGCATGGAACTATAAGCATGGGACTATTAACTATAAAACATGCACCTAGAAGAAATGAAAGGCAGACAGGACTATCATAAGTCTCTCTTTACCATTTAACGACATGTAGATACCCAGGGATGTCACTGCCACTAATTCCTCCTAGCCAGGGTCACCTGCATTGCTCCTTTCTGGCCCCACTGACCAGTGAAAGGCCCCATATTGGTACAGGGAAGTCTGCAGCACCTTGGCTGCATGAATATCCCTCCAGTGTACCCTATGTGGAGAGTTACTTTTGCCTTTGACCTCTGAGGGCACATTCTCCCGAAATACTTTTGGAGGAGAGCATAAAAAGGTGGAAGAGAGACACTGGCCATAATAGCAGTCATTTTGCTGGTAGGATGAGGATTCTGGGAAAGAACCCCACTACCTCTAGGTCATTGCCCTTCTTCCTGCTCCTTTTCCTCTCTGCACTTGCTCTCCTAAGGCCCCCACCACAGATAGCATTCTGTTGGGGGAGTTTAGATGAAGGGGGGAGTAGGATGAAAGTTTGGGTGCTGCATTTAGGAGAAATTGGTCTGGAATATCAGCTTACAGACCTTTGAACTTGAATCAGTTTCTTTGTCTTGCTGTGCCTCAGTTTCCTCATTTTACCTTCAAGGACTGCACTAAGGGTCAGAGCTGATGTCTCTAAAACTGCAAACGCCCAGAAGGATTTCCACAAATTTCCCATTGAATGAAAGGGAGAGAGCTCAGAGGGGACCCACAAACCACTTCTGGGTGGGTAAGGCAGTGGGGACTCCTTTCACAAATGCCTCCTCAGTTCACCCGCTAGTGGGGTAACTTGGTCTCCTTTCTGTCTGGGTCCAAAGGCTGGGCATGTTTTGGGAGGTGATCAGTCAAGAGCCAGCTGATGAAAAGAGCAGACTACCAGGTACAGCCTTCTCCAGCCCCCTCGGATGAACCCTCCCTCCACCAATCACCTAAACTTCCTGCCTCTACAACATGTCAGCAGGGAGCCAGGGAGGCTGACCTTGCTGCATCCTCTTCCTCAAAATGGAGGCTGCTTCATGCCACACAGGGGCACAAACAAGGTGACGCAGATGACAGCAGTATACACACAAGAGGCACCCTGCAAACCCCACTGAGGACATTGCTAGGCTTCCATAGGGACCTTACAACTACCAGACACCTCCAAGTGCAAGGCCCAGTGGCTGGTGGAGATGGGCAACCTTTTGTTTTATATTTGGAAAGAGTGTGTCAAATGCTGGCAGAAGACAGCAGGAACAGGCCAGCCCTGGCTATAACCCCCAAGGTGCTGCTGAGGTGCTGTGACCTTTTCTGTGGTGCCAGAATCCCCACATTTGGAAGAAGTAGGACAAGTCTTACCCTAAGCCTCCTGTCACCTCATGATCTATGCTTGCACCTGCACACTTAGAAGCACCTACTTATTCCCAAATTAATCAGGAAGGGAATTCAACAAGTCATGAGGAGAGAGCCAAGAATGGTCCTCTCCCAGCTTTACCCAGTCCAGCAGCTTTTTGGATAATGTGTAGCATCAGTCCCTTCTCACTGAAAATGGCCCTTGAAAACCCTATTCACACCTTTATGCCACTGCTTTGGATTCCTTGAGATAGCACCCTAGAGGCTGTTCTGAGAGCGCTTCCTGTGTGATGAGACCAGCCACCAAGCAAAAGGGCAGGATAACTATGGGGTGCCTGGCAAAGCAAATGGCTGCCAGCCCACCCACCCACTAGCAGGAATTTTAAAATGCTTTCATTCAGCTCAATGGATGCTCTGGGTGGCTGCGGGCCTCGGAGGGAGGGTACATGGAGGCAGGGGCCTCTGATGGCCTGCACAATTCCCATTATGAGGGTAGGTGTGGGCAAGAGAAGCATTGAATTCAGTAGTCCTTCTCAGAACTGGGATGCAGTGCTGGGCCCAAGGCTCAGAAACATGAGCTCAAAACATGAATGCTTCATGACAGCACCATGGCATACACCAGTCCGGGTGGTGGTTGCTCCAGACCAGTAAAGACGCCTAGCAGGGGGTGCAGCTTGCTGGGCTTGAGCTGGGAGCAGCCCTGGGGATGGATTGCCCTCCTCCTCCAGGTGCCAGATCTGGATTTAACATCACCCCAGTGTCTTCTTGCTTTCTATTTGAGTTTCCAGCAGCCACTGGACCTAGAGGTACTGGTCTGAGACCACATAGGCCTCACCCTACAGGTTACAGTAGCTCCTCAAGGATACTGGGGTTCACCTGCTCCATGGAATCTTGCCCCCCATGGCCAGGGCAGTGTTGTGGTAGAATGAGCATTGGGTTGGGATTCAGGCACTTGGGTCCCCTACAGATGGCAGGTCTCTAGACTCAACAAGCACCCAGTTTGCCACCAGATCAGTAGCCCAGGACCAGGCCCCCAGAGGGCAGTTGAAGGATTTATTTATTTATTTTTTTTTTAAAGATTTATTTATTTATTTATTTATACAAGCACTGGGTACAGTCAGAAGTACGGGAGGGTGAGAGAATTCACCAGAGCCGGAGCAGGGAGCAGAATAGGCAGACTGACGAAGTACACTGCTGAGGGGAGCAGCGGGTGCTGCAGGCGAGGTCTGCGTGCCATGTGGGACCCTCGCACTGCAGCCGGGGATCGAACCGGCGCTGCAGAGGCTGCGGGCAGCTTCGCAACCCAGCGCTCAACTGCTGCACCACCAGGGAGGCCCCAGTTGAAGGATTTAAATGGTTCAGACAGGGGACTGCACTTTGGTATTTTTGCTTGTGATTTTAATATTGGGGGTTGTAGAATTATTAGTTTTGTTTTTCATTTTCCTGGGATTGTTTTGTTTTGTGTTTATTATGCTTTTCCTTCTGCTCATTTTTATACAGAGGACCCACATTTGCATTGCAGGTTTTGTAGCACCCTATTGTTTTGGTCCATTTAATACACCCCCCACACCCCACCTCCCAAGGAAGCTGACCAGCA